AAAAAAAAAGTCTTTTATTACTAAAAAACAATATTCAAATCAGCATTAGTATATCAGGTTAAAACTAACATATAAGAGTAAAAGCAATTTATATACATTTATATGAAGAGAAATTTCAAAATTTACATAAAAACAATATGCAAATCATAAGACCATATATTTTCATTTTGACTTATTCCAAATGATAGGGGAAACTTTAACTGGTATAGAACAGATAAACTAGTTGCTGTGAAAGCATACTAAATGTGGAGAAGTTTCCAAAGTGTTAAAAATCTCATAGCTAAGAGTGACTTTTTCAAATTTTATTTACTAATTTATTTTTTGAAAAACATTTATTTATTTATGCATACAGAACTGGGTCAGCAGAGGTCTGCCATACCACGTGGATCACCTCCAGTATGGGCAGGGATCAAACTCATGCTGAAATGGCTTCAGCTTCTCAGTGCTGTGCTTTAACTCGCTGAGCCACCAAGGAGGGCCCTATTTATTAATTTAAGAATCCTTGTTTAGGCCCTCCCTGGTGGCGCAGCAGGTTAAAGCACAGCACTGAGAATCTAAAGCTGCTTCCGCATGAGTTCGATTCCCGCCTGCCCTGGAGGTGACCACACGGTGTGGCAGACCTCTCCTGACCCGCCCGCTGCTCCCCTCAGCAGTGTACTTCATCAATCTGCCTGTTCTGCTCCCCACTCTGTCTCTGGTGAAGCCTCTCACCGCCCCTGAGCCTCTGGCTTGTACCCCAGTTCTGTATGCACAAATAAATAAATCTTAAAAAAAAAATCCTTGTTTATTTTTTCACAATATAGGATTTTTCCCCTCAAGTATGTTGAGTGACTATTTCAAAAGAAATATAAATATATATACTTATCTTGAGATAATATATGTATTATACACTAAAATTTATCATAGATACAACTAAACTTGCTTGCTGCTTAGCAAGAACATATTACTTAACCAATGACTCTAAAAATAGCAGCTGTCTGCTTTATTTACAATTGGAAAGACATGGAAACAGCCCAAATGCCCAAAAGTGGATGACAGTATTAAAAAGATGTGTACATATACACAATGGAATATTACTGAGCAACCAAAAAAAATAAACACATGTCTTTTGCAGCAACATGGATGGAGCTGGAGAAGATCATGCTTAGTGAAATAAACCAGAAAGAAAAGGAAAAATACCGGATGGTTTCACTCATAACAGGAGTATAGCCAGGCGAGAAAACAATAACAATAATGAAGAACTATACACCAGAGACATTTTTATGGGGGTGGATGGAAATGCACTGAACTGTGGTGCACACAGATGATTTGGTGATGGGAAGCCCACGGGGACTGCAGCTGGGATGAAAAAATGCATAAAATGATATAAAAATAAACTATTATACTATTTAAAAAATAGCAGCTGTCAAACTAATTCCATCAGTTAGCCATTAGGAATAATTCACCTATGTGACTTCAAAAGTCAACTATTGATCATCATTGATACTCAGCATTTGGCCCCATTCACAATGGGGCTATACAATTAGAAATATATTAATAAACTTTCTAAAACCTAACATCTGCATCTAGCTTCCTAATCAAAGGCTATATTCTATTTTGAGTCCTAAAATATTCTTGATAAAGATTTAGGTGATTGATACTTAATATTCAGTATTCATGCATGTGGTGAAATTGGTACAAAACATACTCCTCATGGGAGTTAAATTAATATCAATAACTAGGCAAAAATTTTTAAATGCCAGTTAAAATGTACAATGTAAGCATCCTTTGACCCATATTTCAATATCTGCGCATTTATCCTAAATATACTCAAAGATAGATAAATCAATACTCTCTGCAGTGTAGTTCGTTATGTTGGAAAACTGGAAACAACCTAAAACCTTGTGAGAAATTAAGACAATGAAACTAATGATGGAATTAGTGATGTATATCTCTATGTACTAACTTTGAAAGAGACACAAAATATATTAGATTCTTAAAAAGTTTTAGTCTGTATTATGATTCCTTTTGTATTTAAGTAACCACCTCAAGTAGGGTGATTTTACCTATGGTATACACATATGTAGTGAAATAAAAGTTTGGCCTTTACTTTGAGTTCGTAGAACATAAGACTGAAACCCCTAGAATTTCCTGACTGTTAAAAACAAATCGTTGTACCTCTTGATGTTTGTGACACACCAAACAGTATGTTAAGAATTTTATTTATGGTTTAATTTTGAGGCACATGGCATCTTCTGGGCCACTAGAGACTAAGATCACCCATATGAATGGTCAAATCATGTCTATATAACCAAGCTCACCATCTACAACACCTCGGATGCAATGAATATGCCCAGTAGGCAATAATACATCACATGTGCCATCAAACATCCTTGCTGGGAGACCTAAGTCTGGGTCCTGTCCTAGGTGCTTTTTCAGTTTTCATTTAATTTATATACTTTCAGTGTAATAACAAATAACTGCAAAAGCTTTTCTAAGTTCTGTGAGTCAAGGTAAATTACTGAACCAGAGGCAGCCTTGGGGACTGCCAAATATTATAATATGAAATACATACTCTAAAAGAAAACAATCTGATTTTTAAATAGGATCTGAATAGTTATTTCTGCAAAGAAAATATAGTCAAACAGATATACAGAAAAATAATCAGTATCACTCGTCATTATGGAAATGCAATCAAAACCACCATGAGGTATCACATCATGCCTTTATAATGGTTACTATAAAAAAATCTGTAAGAATTAAGTGTTGGGTGAGGAGGTGAGGACATGTACTCTGCACAAATACAGTTTGGAACACTGTAAGAAGGGTCCTCTAAAATGTAAAAATAGAACTACCATAAGATCAAGCAACCCCACTTCTGGTTATCTGTCCAAAAGAAATAAAATCATTATCTCAAAGATGTATCCGTAACTCCCATGATCACTGCAGTATTATTTAGAACAACTAAAACATAGAAGCAACTCAAGTGTCCATCAACAGATGAATAGATAAAAAAAACTGTGATAGGCACACAATGGAATATTCCTTCAGTCATGGAAGAAGAAAATTCTGCCACCTGTGATAACATGGACAGCCATTGAGGGCATTATGCCAAGAAAATAAATCAGACAGAGAAAAACAGACACAGTATGATCTCATTTCTGGGGAATATTTTTTTTAAAAACGTACAGAGAACAGATCTATAGGGGAAGAAAGGGTGCTGAAGTGTTGTGAATATGGTCAAAAACTACAAATTTCCAGCTATAGAGTAAGTCCAGGGACATAGTGGACAGCAGGGCACTGAGGGTTAGCAAGACTGTTTTGTATATTTGAAAGCTGCTGAGAGCAGACCTTTAAAAATTTCTCATCTAAAGTAAGACTATTTTAATTGAATATTGTTAACTAAATTCACTGTCATGAGCATAACACAATATATACTTTTAAATATACCAAATCGTGTTGTACACCTAAAATTAATAATGTTATAGGTCAAATATATATCAACAAAAGTTTTCAAAAATACATCCTAGTATAAGCACAAAAATATTCTAGAAGGTTTTGCAATAATGGGACAGGGAGGAAGGTAATTTTTATTTTACACTATATGTTTATTGTGGGTAACTTCATAAAGCCCACTTTCATCAATGGACAGATAACCAGACACACTACTAAATGAATTGGATTAATGAGAAAATCAAATAAATAAATAAATAAAACTCTCAAGACAAAGAATGATGAAGTCATCACATTCCAGAATTTAGGGGACATAGCAAAATAAGAACTAAGAGGGTGATATGTAACAACATAGGCTCACATCATGAAACAAAAAGAGCTCAAAGAAATAATCTTATCTCTCACCTTAAGGAACTCGTAAAAGAAAATCGAACAAAACCAAAAGTCAGTGGAAGGA